AATATGCTATAACTCAGAAGATGAAAAAAAAAAGTTTAAAAGACAAATACTAAATATTACCTCATTTGTTTTAGAGCTTGTCACAAGTTTCAGTGTTTCTGACAATTACCTACAAAAAATGGGTAAACAATAGGTTTCCAGCATTTCTGTAGTTCACCTTGAGTGAAAGTCTTTACCCAGTTATGAGATAAGCAATATTATGTTTAAATCACTGAGCATAGTGCAAAAAAAGTTTGATTTCTAATTAGATAAAGTTGAAGTAGGTATTTAATGAACATAGTTGTGTTTAATTCAGTTTTGACCACTGCTTCTCAAGACAGTGAAATGAAAATCAAAAACACAAAGAGCATTATGAGAGTCAGAAAAAGGATGTTGAGGCATGAGGTTAAATTGACAGGTATAAATTTCTGTTCTTACACAAAATGAAAAATTAAAGAGCCTTTGTGATTTATTCTTTTAGTACTGTTAAAAATCAAGAATGAGATATTTCTTATAATTAAAAGATGATCATATATTGCCAGAAAGTAATATGAAATTACCAGCATATATAATTTATAGAGGTTTGTGGTAATTGAGGGAGAGACTGGTTTTATGTAAAGATTTAGTATTAAATAAATTGCTGGAATAATAGGTATAATATTAATGAGCAAAATGATAATAACAGTTTTGTGTATGTCTTGGTTCTTATACTATTTCTTTAACAATAGTGTTTTTCAGTATACCAGTCTGGGTTTTTAGGTCATAAAATTACCCCTTTTTTTCTGATTAAGTGGTTACGTTTTGTAAAACCTCATTTTCACTTTTCACTGTACTGAGAATTCTCATGAAATTAGATGAGGTGTTAGATCGGTCTATATAGCAATTAAATAATCTGTAAATGGCTATAATAATATTTATTCTAAGGGGTTTTCATGATTCAGTTTAGCTAGTGGATTCAGATACTGATCTGGAAGATGCTAAAGAAAATAAAGTTAGTTGCATTATTTTTCTACTTGAAATAGTGTGTACAGACACTGGCAATGACAAATTATTGATCTATCTAGCAAGGACCTTTAACAGCAAAATTCTATGCCTTTTTATATATTTAGCTGCATCTAATGTTAGTTGAGTCCAATTTAATCAAATAATTTCACAGCCACAGCTGCTCTGAGTTCCAATTCAGAATTCAGAAAACTTGTGCCATAAATCTACACCTGTGCACTGCTTCTGAACTCCTTGACAATGGAGTCCACCATTACAACTTTGTGTATACAGAGAATTATAATGGTGACAGTGCCTTCATTCCATCACCTTTCTTTACTCAAAATGCTGGCCAATAGAGTGCTGTGCTAAATTCTTTCCTTTAATTCCATAGCATGGTTACGGTACTGATACATTAGGTGATGTATGCTTAAGAATCTGCAAGATATTTAGATGCCTACCTAACTGTCATTGACTCAGCTACTTGCCTAAATACCTTTGAGAACTTGTGAAACTGTTTCTTTGAGATAAAAAGAGAAGGGTAAAAAAACATCTAGAGTGTTTCAGACTGCTCATCAGAGTTATACGCGCCTTTTGTAATAAAAGCAATTTTCCTCTGTTCAATAATGTTAAGTCTCTGGGAGCTAGACATTGCCTACATCACATTAGTTTATATAATAAAAAGGAAGATTACAATTACTAAGTGGGATCTTTATAGACAAATACAATGTAAAGATGTAAAAATACATGATGTTCCTTTTAAGCAGAGAATCTCAAGGCTTTTCTATGCATTACACACAGAAGTAACTGCAGCTGGTGTAAAGTTGTATGGGTGCATTCCTGAATTACTCCAGAAAAGGCTTGAAGGAAGTGTTCATTCAAAATGTAAATGTATAAAGGAGGCTGCCTGCAGATGACGTGCAAATATTAGCTTAGGAAATTAATATACATTATATTTTTCCATTCTTCAACATGAAGATATATTATCTTCAAAGATATATTATAGTTCTCAAATCATAAACTCTTTTTTGCCTTTTTATTACTAGAATACAAATGCTCCAGAACATTATTAAAATTATATACAGTGACATATTTCTTTAGATGGGTAGCTGAATGAAGTGCATGTCACCTCTTGCTCTGTAGGCTGTAGCAGATCTGCTAACTGTGAGAAGTCACTGCCTATGGGTTGATTCACAGTGAGGTTCTCACTTTGATGAGAATATGCCATGTGTGAATAGCACTGTATTCTCTTGCCATGTTGCATCTAAACTGTTGTAATTCCACTACATCTTCTACCACAAAATACTATGAAACTGTTAATGAAATGGAGAATGGTAGTTGTTCTAGAAGGTGACATTATGTATTAGGATGAAGCCAATCTTTTCAATGCTCTCTTTTTGTCAAATCCTCTAGATTCCCCTCATGGATTTGTATTGGGGGTTTTCTGGTTGGTTGGTTGTTTTTGGGATTTTTTTGTGACTCTAGATGCATGTGTATGCACAATTTGTGTAGAAACTCAAATTGGGATGCACCTGCTGTTAGACTGTGCATCTTCAGAAATGCAGAAATAGCTTTTTACTTTTGAGTATATTAAGACAGTCATGAGCTGATTTCATGATTATTATACTGCCTGACACACTGTTCCTACTATTAATATTGATGATTTCTAACTTACACTCAGAACACAGCCCTCACTTCGTACAACAGAATAATAATTTCTTGATTTGATTTGAAATATCATCCTGTTTCAAAGTAATTTTGAAGGTGGCGATGGTGTGCAGATAAGGGGACACAGGCAAATCCCAGTGTTAACTTTCCGAACAATGGCTAAACTAGTGATTGCAAAAGTTCTACATCTGGCTGAAAAAGTGCATCTCCTGGATTACAAGGTTGAGGGAAAATGTGAGGCAGTGTTGGGAGTGAAACTCAATAAAAAGCCTCATCTCATTCCTTATTCCACAGTTCCAATCTCAATTCCATTGCTTTCACATTTTGGAACTGCTTCTTACTACTCGAGCCACGTGAGAGCCACGTGAGAAATATGTTACTGAATTTAGAAAGTAGTAAAGCTCTTCTGAGTACTGTAAAAGTGATGATGATTAATGCAAGAGTTGTAGTCAGCCCTTCCAATGCTCAGTATAGCTTCTTTCTTCCCTTGCTGTTGAGAGTAGTAAAGAAACAGGCACAACTGAAAGCTATAGGGGGACTGGTCACAGTGAATGTTCCTCCCTGTTTCAACTGTTCCATAGCTGCATTAATCATCACATTTAATAGGCTGCTGATGCGATATATTGCATTGCAAAACACTGAAAGGAACAGCTGCTGTTAGTGGAATACTTGATTCTAAGAAATGTGGAAGTTTTCAGTCAAAATGGGTTGTAAGACAATGCTTCTGAGACCAGCATTAATGTCTTTGGTGTGGATGGCCCCTGATCCTGCCCCGCTGGCTGATGAGGCCACTGACAGGTCTGTGGCAGGTAAGGTCAGAGTGCAGGATAATCATTCTTCCATGTAGCTGCGTTCATTCTACTGATCCTGCTGAGTAACAAGCAAATATGCAGGCTAGGCAGCAACAGAAAATAATCTGAACTCTTGCCCAAGATCTCTGTGTTTTCTAAGTGCAAAGCTTTGTAAGTTTATTTCTTATAGCTGAAGGCTTTAAACAAAGGAACATTAGTGCAGAAAGCATATACATAAAACTGTGGGGGGGTTGGCTCTATTTTCCTTTCCTTTCTACTCAAGCAGTGCAATTTTGCACCTTGCATGTGAAGATGTGGTTTAATATTTCTTCCACTCATTTATCCCTCAGTCTGACCCACCTGTTTATCCTTACCTTTCTCTTGTCAAAGCCATTTTTTCTTCGAGCTTTCATTTGTATTTCAAGTATTGGGGTTTTCCTGTTCCCTTCTGACCTCACGACTAACATGGTTGCCCATACTTCTGTCACTATGTTCCTGATATTGAATCATCTTTCATCTGCTGCCTCTCATTTTCCCTGTCTGGATATTTTGTGTGCTGCTCTTCCTCCGTGCCTGCTGCTGCGTTCTTCCACAAAGTGACAGTGTCACTGCACTGGCACTGCATTGCCTTGGCAGCGGGACTGTCCCACGGGGCACGGAGCTCATGGCCAGGGGGGCTCACAGCCCTGATCCCCTCCCCAGCCAGCCCCGGGCGCTGCCGGCCCCGGCGCCGCGGGATCCCCGGGTGACAGCCGGGGCGGCTGAGGCTGTTCCTGTCCATGGTGCTGAAAGCTGGCCTGGCTGCCTCCTGCCACCTGCCTCCGCCCTTCCTTTCGTGGCTCTCCTACTGGTGTTCATGGCAAAGAAACGGAGGTATCGTCAAAGCTAACTCCCAGATTTCCTCTTTAATATGGAGGAAAGTTATCAACTGGCTAAGATAGAGTTTAATGTATTTCTCAAGTAAGAAATCTTAGAAAAATGACATGAGGGAAGAGAATAGTACTGCTTAAAAGGAGATTGGTGGCTTGTTTTTATTAATCAGGCTTGCTATTTTTGTCAGATATCAGCCTTTGATCTTATGAGGATTCTTCAGGGACATCATGGAAAAAAACTGGGAGCCAGATTGTAATTCTCTCATGAGTATGATACAGGAGTAATTGAACTGAAGTCAAATTAAACTAATGTGAAACAGATGTAAGTTGGTTCAGACAAATTCAGTACTCTGCAGCTTTAGTTAATATTTTCTTACAAGGCAAGAACCCCCTACAATATACTAATACGCTAATAATGTGCATGCACTTTTTCAAATAGAACAAAAAAAGTGAGGGAACTACTACACTATAGTCCCTGCTGCCCATACAAAGGGACTGATATAAAAGGTGTCTGAAAGCAGGAGTCTGGCTAATGAGGAATGGCTACCAGAAAAGAGCCAAGAATGGTGAAGATGATTACAAACTGTGAACCAGGTACCCCCCGTACTCTTCTGGCACTTAGATGATTGATGCGTTAGGCTGTGAGTGGCAGGATCATAGTGTATTCTGTTTAGTGTCACTGGCCAAAGGAACTGCAGACAGGCTGTGGTACCATCCCAGTACAGTTTATTGCTGATGTGTAGTTTCCTCAGGCAGATTCGCTGTTTTCACTGAAACTATTTCTGCCAATCAGTAAATTTTCTGTTCTGAGGATTAAAACATGAAATAAGTAAAACACGGCACTGCATGATGTGACTTAAAGAGTGATAAGAAACTCCATGCAATAAAAGACAATAAAAATAATACATTGCCTTTCCTTGCATAGTCATGACTCTTAGTTAACTCTGATTGCTAATGACACTAAACCTTCTGAAAACTATTTGAACAAGAAGTTTTCAGGTGATCCTAAAGAGGAGGCTTTAAATGTTCTCTTTGACAGAAAGCTTCCTGGAGAATAAAGAAATTATGAGGCTTCTGCATTGCATCATATCCAAATTAATACTACTGCAGAATGGGTCAATAGAATATAAAGAACAGGAAGCAATTCACTTGAGTTGCTCTCTTGGTCTCAATGTAAATAACAGCACTCCTGTGGCAATAAAATGAATGAAGAATAATCTTCACAATTAGAAATACCAGATTTCAAACAACTATGTAGTTAAACATAAACTGAATAGTTATATACACAAATGAGTACATTGTTAAGTGGTGACACAAACACTGTCTAGACTTCTATCTAGCCCTATCTCATTTCCTCAGAGCATCTAAGAAATGGAACACACAAACTACAGATGATTTCTATCTACTATCAAGGATCAAGTCATTTTTCCATTACTGCTCACTAGATTTAAGTAGGTAAAGGAGGTATTTATTAATCGGCTTTTCTATGGCTTTCTTTTATGTACATCAAATTCACTTCTAAATAACTTATGCCATATTACTGATGAACAGTAAAAGGGTACATAGCATTTTATTCTTTTTTTCAATGAGACAGCTTGTAATAAAAGGCCTTTTTTCTTTTGTGTTGTGACTGTCACAGGCCCTGTCCTGGGAGGCACTAATTTTCTACTAACTTCAGCTCTGAGGGCATTAAGTCTGAACAATAAACCCTGAATGAAAAGTAAGAACTTAGGAAGACCAGTCAAATCCTGAAAATTCTTATCCAGTGACTAAAATAGGTTTCTTTTTCTTGGTGCTCTTTCATTTAAACATTAAACATTCCTGAATCCACTTAGCTTATAAAAGTTGACAGAGTAACAGCTTGAAACACTATAGCTTCAAGGCACCAGTTCTCCCTGTCATAAGAATATGACATCACTGAGGGGTGAAAGGCCTTTTATTTGCATAAGATAATAGTTACGTTTCTATGCAGCAGCTGTGCTGTCAGTGAAAGATGCCAAATTTATCTCTGGAGTAACCCCATTGATTTTAAATTAGTTACTTTGGGAATAAATTGGCCCACTCAATAAAATTGAAGGTTTGAGGCATTGAAATAATTGAGCAAGTTTTCCACGATCATAACATGGTTAAAAAAAATTTACAAAACAATTGCATGATGTCATGCATTTATGTACCTTATAGACCACAACTGATTTGCCACAAGGTTTTTCAGTCATATAGCTAGAGCAAGTATGTAGAGCTTACAGACATTTTTTGGGAATATGGGAACATTAAGGGTATACAAGAAACATGAATATGGTGGTGTGTCATCATTATCTATTTAGTTTTACAGTAAGTCAAACAATTGTGAGAGCTTACAGACATTTTTTGGGAATATGGGAACATTAAGGGTATACAAGAAACATGAATGTGGTGGTGTGTCATCATTATCTATTTAGTTTTACAGTAAGTCAAACAATTGTGAGATGTCTCAATCATGCAATTTTCATTCCTCTTTAGTCAGTAATAATCAGGATGTGTTTCTGGTAATAAGCCTGAAGAATTCACCTCCAGACTATAGACTTCTTGCATGTCTTAGCAGGAATTTAACGGTGTCATCTTATCAGTGGGCTGTTTCAGTTTTGTTATCTTAGGTGAGTTTTCAGTTGACAGGTGTCTGTGGCAGAATACACACTTCATCAGTTAACTGCTGATAGTTATGGTGGACAGGGTAGTGCTTGGGTTAGGGTGACACAGTTCAGTAATATTTGTCTTTATGTTAGGTTTTCCCTGCTAATATATAAGGGAGATGCCAGTAAGCTGGAAGATTTTGCATGCTAAGAAAAAGTTATTTACATGCATATATATATTATACATGTCTATGTATAAATAAATGAATTATTCTTTATTAATCCATATTTGATAACTGGTCTTGTTGGGGGTTCAGAAAGCTTCTGAAGCCTTTTAGATTACTGTAACCATAATTCAAGTGATTACACAGCACAATTAGCAAAGCCTACCCTCACTTTTATTCCCACTCAGTTTGCAGAAGTAATAACAACAGAAATCCCAAAGTGTGTTCAGAATGCATCGTGGTTTGCTTGCAAAGGAAATACCTTCTGCTACTGATGTCATCATTGCAATAATCTCAAATTCAAGTCTGCCTGACAAGGCTCATTATCATTCTCACCATGTCCTCCCTTAGAGCAGCCTCTCCCTCCTCCTCCTGTACAGCACAAAACAAGAGCCACAGGGGTGCTCAGATTAGGGGAAGGAGAGACTCCTAGCACCTCCCCCGAGAAAACTTGCTGCATTACTTCCATCTGGTTTCTTCAAACTACATGCTGCTTTACAGGACCTCGCACACCACCACTAAATGAAAGCGTGGATTCCCCAGTACTGATTTCCTCTTTCTGTTTAGGGTTGAACAAAGACTAGGAAAAAGTTTCACAATGTGGATGCGAAAAGAGTGTGCCAATCTTCACAGTAAGAGTTTCCTGAGGAGAGTCACACATTTTGGACTGTTTTGGGTTTGGTGGTTTTTCTTTTTTTTTCCCTTCACCAGGGCAGATTTCTCCTTTTTGGTCTTTTGAGGTTAGCTCATAGCTAACTTCGAGCAACAGCTAGAAAAGAAAAACAGAAAAAGGGCAGTTGAGAAAAAAAGTACAGGGAAAAAAGCAGGGCACAAATTATCATAGGCACCGGATTTAGATCCCAACCACATTTCCTGAAAATTCAGAAGGTCTATGGACCACTGGACTGATTCTGGTACAGGTCTCCGACCATGGTATATGAGAATTTGTTAATCTGTCCACTAAACCATTCCCTGTAGATGATCCCCTTCACACAAAGAGTTGATTTCCACTGTGGAAGAGAATAGGCAGGACAGGGTTAACCTCACACAGCTTTCCTTCAGGCCCCCAGAGGGGCTGGGGTTTTGTTTTCCTGGCTAAGGGAGGGGAGCTGGCATGTATTGTAACTGGAACTGGAGACCTTTCTGGTGTTACTAGCCTGCTTTGGGTTTGAGGGAAAGCCTGGAGAATGAGGAAGAGGAGGGAGAATGCCGATCTGGAAAGAAGCAAGTGCCTGGCAATTGCACAAGTGTCCTCGTTTCCCCGCAGGCCCCTGACAGTTTAGGGCAGCTTCGAGGGGCCTCCAGCCTCCTGCCCCCTCCCTGCAGCTTGGCCACATCTTACAGCCCCGCTGTGCCAGTCATTGCCTTGACACCAAGTGTCTGTCCCTGTCCACAGCGCGGGTCGGGGACAGAAGGGGTGCAGGGGTCCCCTGGCTTTGGGGGTACCCGGTCCTGGTCCCCGGAGCCTTCGGGGGCTCGGACGATCCCCTGCCCTTCCCCTCCCCCTGCGCTGCAGAGCCTCTGGATGCTGCCGTACTCCTGCCATGTGCTGCCGCCGCCGCTACTGCTGCTCGTAGCTTATTCGAGCGTGTCTCCGGCTGCAAACTCCGCCAAACAAGGCTGCATTCCCTCCCGGGAAGGATACCTCGTGAGTACCAGCGGAGCCTGCCCCCTCCCTAGGCACCCGCCGCTGCCTCTTACAAAGGGACTCGCAGGCTCTCCCCACCCCCTTTTTATGCCAGTGCAGAGAGGGGCTCTGTGAATTCCCTCCAAAGCTATAGGGAGGCTCCCTCCTCCTCCTTCTCTTCTTCCTGCTCCGCTCTCCTGGGCGAGCCAGGCTGCTGCTGCATTGAGCCGGGGTGGTCCCGGCCGCGCCCTGCCTCGCCCCAGCCACGCTGCCGCGGCTCACGCCCCATGGCTGACTTTTGCTGCCCCTCTAGTGCCCGGGGCTGAACGGAGGTGCGCGCATTTCTGGGGGATGGCTGAGGCCAGGGAGCTTGTGCACTTGTGGGAGGTGTCTCTGGGGGCGTGGGGGGCTGGACGACTCCCCGATCCTTGGAAACCTGCGTTCTTTCCAGCCCGGGTCCCCCTCGGGTGGGCGCAGCAGAGGGGCCGCGCTGCAGCGGGGACCCCGCCACCCTGACATCTGCAGGTGGACGGGGCGAAACAGCTGCGGGAGCCTCCCGGGAGCCAGCAGCACCCTGGACCCGCTGCCTACCTCAGTCTGCTCCGTTCCTGCTCCTCCAGATTCTCTCCTGTCCTCAGTCCATCCCTTATACCCCTCTCTGTGCTGGGGTGCCTGCAAACCCCTCCACTCCACTCCCCTGCCCGCCCCTCCCCACCTTCTTCGATTTATTTGTGTATTTCTTTCCTTGGCAACCACCAGTTTCCCTCTGTCAAACAGCGCAGGCTCCCTATAATTTGAAATTAATTTGTTTGACTGCAGCATCAGACAGGAAGGCTGGGAATTTATTTAATTCTTTTTACTCCCTTTGCAAAAAGGAAGCGATGAAATTTCCAATTGAGACTCCAAGAAAACAGGTGAACTGGGATCCTCAAGGTTGGTGATTCTCTATTACTATAATTACTACTGTAATAAAAATTATTATTATTCCTTGTTTCTATTGACTTGTAGGAGACTATGTGACTCCAAATGGGAGGAGGCGTTGGATGTTTGTCTGCTTCCCATGAGCAATGCTCAGTCTTTCTTGCTCAATCCTATAACAGTGTATTAGAAAATGCTACTGAGATACGGGGTTGGGTGGCTGCATGGCTAAAACCTCTTCTAGGTGTAAGTTTTACAGTTTTATATTTGATATCTCTCTTGCCTCCCCCTCGCCCTTTTTCTTGAGTATTTTCAAGGCAAACTTGGCTGGCATGGCAGTGATCTCTGGCTCACAGCATTGTTTGTTTTATCAGTGGCTCCTTTGTTGTTTCTAGTGATCATTGTCTCTGCTAAATGGGTGGTACAGGAGTGGACACAGATGTGAGTGCTTGTTCAGGGCTCCTCGATGGCACATGTTTGTTGGCTGGAGCAGAATGCCGCAGCAATATCACCATTAATGTGGACAGAGCTTTAGTCTGGATGGTATAAAATGACACATTAAATAAGGGAGCCCAAAGGGACCTTTATACTCTTTACGGTGTCCTATTAATAGCTGATCAGCCCAAGTAGATAGTTTGATTAACTACATAGGTACATTTGGACTCAATCCTAGGGAATGTGTTTTTGTGATGGTGGAATGAGATTTATGCCAGCGCAGTGGTTTTCAATAAGATGATCCAAGTAGTATTTAAAAATAAACCACAGTCAAATACTCTCCTTGCCTGGGAGGAGGTTCATCTGCATCCTACAGAAGTGACTGAAAAAACTCTATTGGTAATTTGTACACTGGTGTGTCATATTTCTGTGCATTGGTACAGGAGCAGAAAAACTTGAAGCCATTGCTCCGGTTTGCAGCAGAAGTGCTGGCAGCCAGTTTCTGTACAGCAGTGCTTGCAGGAATTATGAAGTGATAACATGGGCTTTGAGTATTTCTCTTTATTCCACAGGTTTGGTTTTAGTGGTCAATTTGCCTGTCATCCTCCATACGCTCACATTTACAAAATGAAACATTAGAAACATTAGTTTCTCATGTTATAGAAGGAATACAGCAGAACAATCTGCTGTACACACAATTCAGGTTTAGTTTAAGCCTTAGTACATCTTTAATTAGGTGAAGGCTGAAATCGACACATCAGCCTCCTCCGCCCTCATCTTCCTAATGAACACATGGATGGTAGTGCTAACAGAGATTTGATTATTTAAATAACCGTATATTCCTTGTGCTAGGGTCTAAATTCTTTGTGGTGAAAACTTGGTCTACCCAGGTGCTTTTCTAAATGTGTATTTGCTGCAGCTTAATTTAAATCCATTTTATGAATTGCAAAATGTCTTTTAATACAAAAATCTCTCTGCTTTTTTTCCCTGACAAGGCACATAGGATGTATAGATGGCATTCTGTGTGCAGGTCCTTCGCTTGGCAATCAGCTTTAAAGCATATGGATCCAACAGGTGGTTGGCAACAATTTACTGATAAACCACAGAGTACTGTAGCAGTTAAAAGACCCCAAACCCAGCAGGTTTCCTCTCTGCCTGCTAAAAACTTCACAATCCTACCAGTTATTTCCCCTCAGTTTAATGACTTTGTTAGATAGACAGAAAAGATGCTGATGTATTGCCAAGAAGGAAGCAAAAAAAATTATTTTCTAATTCTCCAAGAGATTCAGAAAAGAGATAAAATTTGGTGTAATGGAAAAAAGGCAATCTGGCAAGGAAAAGCTGTCAAAGTCCCAGTCCTTTAACCAACAGAGGAACAGTGCAGTGACACAGTACTCACATAGTTCCACTGAATAATTATGTGTGGAGAAGACAAAGTAGATCAGAGTTCTGTTATTTTTGAAACAAAAATATATTTATGTAGATATAAATATATGTGAAATAACCAAGAACTCTAAAATGAATTTGACTTACAATCACATATATAGTCTGTTCTCTGCATGTACAAGAATGATATTATGTTTTTCATCCTATGTGGTATTTCTGGAATTAAGAGCTGAAGTAGCTTTTCTCAGATACAACAACCAACGTGTAGAAAGTTGGTGGTGAAGGGATGCAGAGAGTCCTAAGTATTAGAGCACAGCTCATGTCCAGTTAGCATTCACACTCTAATACCAGGCTCATTTCAGAGTGTATTTTATGACTGTGCACAATTCTGGTTGTCAGCCAGAGAACATGCAGTTTCCATACTTTTGTCCAGTAGGAATTGTGATAACTGGGCAAACAGTATATGGAATAGATCAGCTGATGGTCCTGGCAAGCAAGCTAGTAGCCCAAGGACATAAGTGAGAGCTATAGCATCTCAAAGACTGTTTAGACCTGATTATTTCAGGCAATATTTTCTAAAATATACACATTTCTAAAGATTGGGAATCTTTTTTTTGGAGCTATGGCTGGCTTGGAATTGATGATATTGCTGGTTTGAACCCAGGTCAGAATGATAGTCATTGAAATGAATTAATGCTCAACTCCGTAAGTTGAGCATCAGCAAAGATCAATATACCATAGAAAGACTTTGTGGAGAGAAGGTATTTAAAAGGATATAATTGATATGAAGTCTGGTCTGACAGACAGGTGATGGGAGACTGATTTCCTAGCCATTAAACTGGTCCAAGCAGGGCTTGGAGATGAAACTGTGATTTTATCATGTTGTGTATTATCTTCATGTGTCTTGGGCATAAAGTATATCTCTGTGTTACATGTAAATGCTGAGTGTATTTTCTAGATAAACCAAATATTTCGTAAAGCTGGAAGTGTTAAGTCCAGATTCCTACAGTGAAGTCCCCATACTACATCAGGCAAACAAACAATATTAACCCCTTAACAAACAGATCAAACTAAATCACAAAAATCACTGGGACTTGGCCTTAACAATCCAATGTGAAATACGCCCTAGAGTTAGATATATATTGATTAAAACCCATGCAATTTATATTCAGTGAATGACTAGGGTAGGTAAGAAATTACTAAAAAGCCCCCAAGCAGGTACTTAAGAATGTTTTAGGGAGCACTGGACATGTTGAGTAGGAGTAAAGGATATCACAGTACCTGGCCTTACATTTTGAAAAACAAGCTTGCTATTTGGTGTTACTGGTGGAATCAGTATGTATGTACTCAATAAGAAAACATTTGATCTGCCAATCTCTTATTGTTGCTTCTCACATTTGGTGCAAATCTCATCTCTACCTTCCAGAATATAAGACAGGATTTTTACCAGCATATGAAAACTTTAATTCTCATAATTGTTTCTCAAATCTCTCCTTTCTTGCAAGCCTCCTGCTGTTTGTTACACCCACCTGTTTTCTGTGCTTGAATTAGCTCATAATGTTTTTGCACATATAGTTTTATATAGTACCTAAAACAGAGTGTGTCCCTTATCCTGTCTGAGACATCTGGATGCAATATCAACTTTTTTCCTGAAAATGATCTGCTTAAAATTGATGTTTCTTTGTAGGGGAAAAAAAAAAAATAGATGAGACAGTTTCAAATATGGTTAGAAATTATCCCCAAGTGTGACTGTCTTTTAGGGTGAGGGTGAGATATCTTTTCCAAGGGAAGGATGTCTTGTGATGCTCGTAGCAGGGAGCAAATGGAATTCAGTCTTGTTTGTTCCTTTGTGCCTGCAGTTTCTGCTGTCATTGTAGTGATAGGGATTGTCAGAGCCTTTTGGATATCCAGCTCAATGTTTATGTCAACACCAAAGTTTTGGAACTCTGAAGTTTGCATTTAAGTTCTTGCATCCTTTCACAAATGCACTGTTTGCAGTTTGAAACTCCAAAATAATGTATTTATTACCATCCTTACACTTAGCATGGGAGTTAATAGTCTGTGGGAAATTCAAGCTGTGGTTGAGAATCTGGAATTCCTCTTCAAATTTTGCTACTGATTTTGTTAACTGTTTAACCTTCAGGAAGCCACTTACCCTTTCTTGCCTTCCCTTTCTCCTAGACTGGAAAACAGGAATATTAATACTTTCCTAATGCACAAGGGTGTTGTGAAATATAATTAACTTGTTTAGAGCAATCTAAAATCTGCTATTGAAAGAAGAGCTTATGCATTGCAATTAAATGCTAAAACAATTAGGAGGGAGCAAAACAGCCTGTCATCACACACAGATCACATCAATTAAGAAATAAGGTTGTATCTGCACTTTGCAATAGAGGAAACTACTATCATTTATGCTTCTTTACAGACACTGAACAGTCAATTGGGTTTCCCATTAGAAGTATCTGAACACCTTTGACATCCCCAGCTGCTGCTTTAGAGAAGCTCAAATCTTCCATAGGTCCTTTGTCACTGGCATTGGGATTTCTCAGACCTGAGGGACCTCAGGCAGCACTGGACACTTATGTGTGGGACAATGAGCTGGGTCTCAAATGCCTTCATGCAGGTATCAGGATTGGACCATCCTTTGATGACTATCTGAAAAATCTTCAACATCCATACTCAGTACAAATTAAATTGATGCTGCTGGTGAATTTTTACAAATTGCTGAAGTACCTGCTTTTTCTGTTCTTTTGTTTGAAGAGACCAATGCAGAAGGTAAATTTTATTAGAAAGGCATAGATGAGTAGAATAAAGGTGTTTGTTTCTCTCCTTTGTTTTCAAGGAGATATGTAAAAAGAAGCAGAATGCAATTGTGAGTTAGACAATATCTTTCTGCACTAGCAAGTTGGTTGTTACTAGCTCAGTATATGAAAACTGTTC